CAACATCTTTACGATCGTGTTATTAATAGTCTAAACGAACTGGATAGTTTTATCGTTGAAGCCATTCAAGCCATGCAAGTAGAACTCACGGAAGATTACTACCACAGTTTAATAAAAGTCATGGGTTATCTATTTAAAGTCAAGGAAAGACAGCTAGAGACTGATAACATGTTCGAACCGCTGAAAGAAATCATGGATTTACTTTTTGAATACGGAATGGAATTTCCTGAAGAGATACATGTTCAACTTCAGGAGATCCCAGACAGATGGTAGCAGTGCAAAAAGGTTGCCGCGACAAGGAAACAAAATGTTGTTCCACTTCAGGCTCTTCAAGTCAACGCGATCAAAAGACGTATTAGCCTGTTTGAAATACGACAAGCTATGTATAGAGAAATGTTTAAAAAGCTTCCATTTTTCAACTGGAACTGCAAAAATGTCTATAAATTGTTAGACAAAACAAACGGTGAACTCGTGGAATTAGAAGCTGAGATGGTGAAGTTACAAGAACAAGTTAATTTGTTTGAACTGACTCTGCCTGAATTCAAACCTATGAATTCTGCACGGAAGGAAATCAGGCAAATTAAACAACAGTGGGATTATGTTTTTATATTTAGATCGTGTATCGACGAGTGGAAGAAGACACCTTGGAAGAAAATCGACGTTGAGGCTATGGAAATGGAATACAAGAAATTCGCCAAGGAAGTTCGCCAAATGGACAAAGAATTGAAGGTTTGGGATGTTTACGTTCAGCTAGAAGCAGCAATTAAAAACATGATGACTTCTTTGAGAGCAGTAACGGAATTACAAAATCCAGCGATTAGAGAACGACACTGGAAACAACTTATGCAGGCAACAAAGGTAATTTTTATTGATACTTTAGTTACAAGTTACATTCAACTCGTTTGCCCTCTTATACTGCTTGCTTAAGGCTGAAGAAAGACTGCCACCACATGACACAGTGAGTACAAACACTGGAACACAAGACTCTTTCATACCCTATTTTTAATAAATTTTTCATAATTACCGTGTTTCCATAATGCCCTTACACATCTTATTCCTAGGTCCGCTTTGTCATGGACGATTCCACAACTCTCAGTGAGTTACTTGCTTTGAATTTGCATGAATACGAGGACGAAGTCAAGAACATCGTTGATAAATCCGTGAAAGAAATGGCGATGGAAAAAATTCTCAAAGAATTAAACGCAACATGGGTTAACATGTCCTTCGCTACGGAGGTTCATGAGCGGACTAACTTGAAACTTTTAGTGACATCCGAAGAATTAATAGAAACGTTGGAAGAAAATCAAGTGGCGCTCCAAAATATGATGACGTCTAAGTTCATCGACTTTTTCTTGGACGAAGTTTCCGACTGGCAGAAAAAACTGTCGAACGCCGATCAAGTCATCCAAGTTTTTTTTGAAGTGCAACATAAATGGTGTTACTTGGAGAGCATTTTTATAGGGTCTGAAGATATAAGAAGTCAGCTACCTGAAGATTCGAAGCGATTCGAAAAAATTGATAGGGATTTTAGAGAAGTTCTGAATGAAATGTTGAAAGACTTGAACGTGATACGAGCCACGAACAAACCAAGGCTTTATGATAAACTTGACGGGATTTTGTCACAGTTGATTTTGTGCGAAAAAGCATTGAACGATTATAGTTGGATACGAAGAGGTTGGCATTCCCACGATTCTATTTTGTGTCTTCCGCAGATTTGCTAGACATTCAGTCTAATGCAAATCAACCTGATCTGATTCAGAGACATTTAACAAAGTTATTTGATTCTTTACCAAAACTCAAGTTCGAAAAAGGCGGCAAAAACTCGAAAATAAAGAACACCGTGTGGTTGTTTTCATATTTTCCTTTATTAAATATCGAAAAAAAATGTGTTACTTTCCGGCGATTCAAAGTGTAATAATTTTCTAAAAATATTTTTCGAAAAATGAACTAATGTCCTGGATTGCTATTGAGAACTCAAATAAAAAAAATCTTCTAATCGGTTTCCGCTTTCTTACCATTAATTGTAGAAGCTTGGCGGTAGCTCCTTAATTGCAAATGCGATTGGTCGTAGCAACTACGACACTAAAGAGGTCACCAAACTTTCAGCTTTTGTATCGTTTACATTCAAATAAAAGTGTTTGACTTTTGTGGGTGCTTTATTTATGGATAAGTTTGCGATTTATGTACTTCCGGAATCAATATATCCATGCTGTTCGGTTTTGCGAAAACCACATGGATTTTAGGTTATAAAAGTTTATGTTTTGTCGTTGGAATTTTAAAATCAATAGTCGAGAAAATTGTGGGTAGGTAATCTAGCTCTCAGGCAAGTTACGGTTGGAAAGATATAAATGTGGCTTGCTGATTTGATATGATTTTCGTTTCATTACTTTGTTTAGTTGAATAGCGTATCAGTATATTGTATGTAAGGTATTATTTATATTCGAGTAGTAATTGATTTATCAACTGATACGTGTGTTATCCATTTCAGATCGCTAGAAATGACTAACAGTAATTTTTTTGTCATTCAGATGCGTTCTTGGAATCATTAAAACTTAAAGATTGGTGGTCTTTTAAGAGGTGCCGCGAAATTTTTAAAATGGCAAAAATATTTATCACATTATTTAGGGTTTAAGGGATATGACCGATTCGCTTTCCACCTTACCATGCCCAGTACAATCTTACATGGGTGCAGTGTAAAAACTTTAAATAAGTACGTAGCATGGCAAGATAGTTAGCAATTTATGGCTGAAAGCCTTACTACCGTCCACTTGAAGCATTTGGAGAAAAAATTTTTGCACTATGACGAGGACTCGGAGAAGTTAATGGGAGTTCGGATGACTCAGAATTTGAGTTTGTAGACGACTTAGATTAATATATTTAGACTGACATTACTGACATTTAATGGAGAATTAATTTTTCGGTTTGACCTTCTAAGCCGATTTTAAATTGGAAAAATGATACCCATAATTATATAGCTCAAAAAATAAAGTGATTAGATTTAGTTATTTGTAGCGATCTGAAATGGATAATAGTCCTGTTCCGAAAGCATTACTTCTGACTATACTTCTAAATTAGAAAAAATTGCCCGTTAAATTAAAAAATTTTGGTTAGTTCATTATATTATTTTATTTTTGGGTAGCAATTTCTTTTTTTTTATATGAATAATGAAATCCAGGGAATTTTTAGTAGCAAAACTTGGCTGTTTGGCTGGTAAGGTATTAAATTCGTTTGTTAACCATCAATTTTGAAATCTTGTAAATGAATTCCGGAAACTAACTACAAGAATAGGTTGTCACTATTTTGAACATACTATTTACTTCTCTGACCATCTTAACAACTGACTGACAATGACCATTAGCGATAGGTAAATTGACCCTTTCGAAATAATTCTCTTTATCTCATATTTTATTACTTTATTAACCTTGTCGGCTTTAACATAAAAGTTTTTCTGTTACAAATTTTTGATGAGTTGTTCACTGGCGTCTTGAATGGAATGTTTTGTAGAGTCATTAATTAGATTAAATAGGTTAAAAATCAGTGTACTTAGTTGGAATTCCTATGTTAGTTTAATTTGATGTACATAGTGCCGAAACGCGTTGCAACAATATTTTTGTGTTTTTTTCCACGGTTTGTGGAGTAATAAACATTACAGTGTTATTGTGCACTAAGTATTCAAAGAAGATTACTTGAGCCTATTATGAATAAAAAATCTTTTGAACTACACAAACAACAATAAACATTTATGGGAAAAAAGACACAACTATCTACAAATAGTTAATTTATAATTCCGAGCAAGTTATTTCGAAAGTGATTTGACACATAGTGTTGCAAATAAAGACATTTTTTTGTATCGACTTACCGGTTTGTGATTTCATTTCCAACTTTATTATTGAGGTAAGTGTGGCAACGTTGAGAACCTCGTCTCGTTAAACATACAGTTAGATATACACTGAACACTCAATTTCTGCATCAACAGACCCCGTAGTTTGGTTGAAATTTATTTATATATCCTTTCATTGTTAATATTATTAATTGCACCTCTCTGTATAATTTTCATTCAGAAAAAACGAATTCTTTCAATGACAGTAAAAATAAATTTTTAAAATTTAGTGATCAATTTGTATTCAGGCTATCGCTGGTTAAAATTATTTCGTAAAGTACGAAATTATACATATAATCGTGTTGTTTACGTTTATCAACCAACACGACGAATATCGGCCAAGGGAACAAATATAATTAAAATAATGAAAAAGTTGTAGTTTACCATGACGGCAGTAAATCTTTTACATTGCAAATATCTTTTTTACATAATATACAAGGTGATTGCGAAACACATGCAAAAAAAAGGGGAATAGCTCACAATATGATTAGATCACTGCGTAAAATTCACGGTCCTAAGTGGTAGCAGTGTCTAGAAAAAATTATTTCGAATTAAATGTAAATTTTTATACGCGTCGCTGGTAATGTTTCGTGACCTACATAAGTACTACAATGAATGGGGCAGAGCGACTCGGATTAAGAACCAAAAAAGTGACTTTATCAGGCACTTTTTTAATCGCAACGTGAAAACATCGAGCAGTCGGTGAAATCGGTGTATGGTGCAGTTTTCCAATGTAGAATGTGTCGATATGGTAATTGGTGTGCGCGAATATTTGCATCAGTGATACAGCATCTCCGAGAACATGGTACCTTCAACCTCAAAGTCACGATCGTGGCCGTGATAGGACAGAAAGAAAAAGTTGGAGTTTCACAGGACATTCGATTTTTAATTTGTTTTTTCTATTTAGACACTCCTAGGGTGGGGGATGCCGTGGTTAAAATTATTGCATATATTTCGGAGTCACCCTGTATATAATACGGTGATTTGTTGTTTCCACGTTCGAGTACTTATGTACTTATTATAACCCGTAGAAGAAAAGGCAAATTTACTACCAGCCTTGTCAAGACAGTTTATGTGTTTTTTAAATGTCTGTGGAGATTTATTTGTAAATATAATAAAGTAAAATTGTTTGTGCAATATAACAGAATTTCTACTAAGTACGTAAAAGCATTCCACAAATAGCTAAATTAAATGCACGCGTTTAAATTCAGGCAAATCGAAATATTTTACCAGTGAAGAACAGGATGGGAACTGATTATTTTCCAAATACTTATACTGGGCTTGCTTGTTTTCTGTGCTTCTTTTTTGTTTTAATAAGAACGTGGAGGAGACGACATCTTTATTACAGCGCATTTAAAGTAAATGGACCTATACCTTTTCCTCTAATTGGAAGTGCTTATGTATTTTTTGGACACACTCAAAGTAAGTACCTACCTTTAATTAAAATGTTCTCAGTTTATCAATCCTTTCAGATATTTTGGAAAGTTTTACACGTTTGAAACGTAAATATGGACTTTTTTATAAACTCTGGATGTCTTCCGATTTATATTTCGTTGTCATGAAACTTGATCATGTGAAAGCAATTCTAAATAACTGTTCGGAAAAATTTTCAACCATGAAATTTGTGGACCCGGTTTTTGGAAAAGGACTTCTTACTTTACCAGGTTTGTGAAAAATTCATTTTTATTGTTATATATTATATGTTGTATTCAGTTTTGATGTACATGTTATTTCTCAACAGCGACTGAGTGGAAAATTCATCGAAAATTATTAGGAGGGACTCTAAATCAGGAAATTTTGAATTCATATGTTGACATTTTCGCAAATTACTCAAACGTCTTGGTGGAAAAACTTGAAGGCACACTTGATGCAGGTTTTGTTGATATGTTTCCAATTTTTGCACAATGCATGACGGATGTTCTTTGTGGTAAGTAACAAATCATAAGTTGAGGTAATTTGCTTGGTTTAGGTACAATCCTGGGTACTGATCTCAAAGTTATGAAAAAAAATGGACCCGATGTGATTTTGTGGACGGCTAAGTAATTTATTTATGCCAATTGTATGTGTTTTTTATCCACCAATTCAATGTTATAGATTAGGGGAGCTGAGTGTGTTACGTATATTTAATCCTCTTCTTCATCCAGATTTTATGTGGAAGAAATCATCTCTCTCAAAACAAACAAACGCTATATTACATAATGTTCAGCGTCTAATTAAAAAAGTAAATGCGCGGAAGTACCCATAAGATAAAATTCAAAGTAAGCAATTTTAGATTCTGGAAAGTAAGCGACGCGAAAAGTCGTACCTCAAATTAGAGCAAGAGCCAAATTTGTTGAATTACATGTTGAAGTTAGAAAATACGGAAACAACATGGAACGAAGAAATGTCAGCTGAAGAAACTCAAGCATTTCTAATTGCAGGTGCCGATGCAACGTCTCTTACCTTAGGTTACGTTCTGATGATGTTAGCCATGCACCAAGAGATCCAGGTGGCCTGTAGAAACCATTTAGTCACAATTTAAAACTATTTTTCAGAAACAAGTATTCGACGAACTAGATTTTGTTTTTGGTGGTAGCAACAGAAACGTCACTTTAGAAGATCTGCACCAGCTTTCACTTCTTGAACGTGTGGTTAAAGAAACTTTGAGGATTTTTCCCGTCGCGCCACTAGTTGGAAGGTACTTCACCGAAGATCTTGTTGTCGGTAGGTAGTAAAGTTGTATGTTCACCAATACCAACTACGTTTTTTATCTAGGAAATTTTACTTTTCCGAAAGGGAGCTCCGCCTTTATCCCCATTCTTTGTATTCATAGAGACAACGAAATTTGGCCTAATCCTCTCAAATTTGACCCTGACAGATTTTTGCCGGGCGAAACGGCCAAAAGACACCCCTTTTCCTTTATACCGTTTAGTGGTGGTCCTCGAAAGTGTCTAGGTCCTACGTATGGCTACATGTCCATGAAGGTCGTTTTGGCGACGATTTTGAGGCATTATAAAGTTGTTGCGACGAGTTATAGAGAAATTTCTGAAATTGAAATGAAGATTGATGTGTCTGCTAGATGTGTGAAGGGACAGAATGTTATATTACACAAAAGATAGGGTTTTCAGAATGATGATGTACGTTTGGAGAATAAATTTGCAGAAGTTTAGGGTTGTTTTTTTACGTCATAATTGACCCTTATCGTTTATAAAGCGAACTGTGTACTTGTACACGGACACACTTTGCTCACGCTCTGTTGGTTGTATGGGATAAGGTATGCGAACTTAAAATCGGGACTATAATTAATTTCCACAATTTTTGTATAAAGAAGCAATTTACATAGTGCTATATTAAATATGACGTTTAGATTTTGATGACGATAATTTATTTTTAAGCAAAACTGTCATATTAGCAATGGCCCCACTAAAAGAACTTGAAAAAAGAAAATTAATAAATTTAGTGCATGACAGGCAGCCAAAGATTACTCCATATTTGGCGGTTAAGAGATTAAAAAATTATGTAATTGGGAAAACCACTGTCTATAGAGTTTGGGAACAATGGATGGAGGTGCTGGAACAGAAAGGAAAGAAGAGTCTGGAAAAACAAAGAAGAAAATTACCGGAAGAAGAAATTTGGAAGATTGTTAAACTTTCAAAGAAAAATGGGGCGACTGCATCGAAGTTAGTAAGAAAATATCATGTGTCAGATCGGAATATATCGAAAATATTAAAACAAAAAGGAATTAACCGTTACACCAAAATAGATGCATGAAAATCGACACCTGAACGACCAGAACGACAAAGAGCCAGGGTAAATGCCTTATTTTCTGGTGATTTCAAACTCAGTGGCAAAAAAGACATCATTTATGATGATGAATCCTATTTTTCTTTCCAAAACGACAAAGCATCTTCAAGTAAACATTATTTGGTCACATTTAAAGAATAAAGTACTTATATTATGAAGAAAACTGGCCAGCTTCGACATTTAGGAAATTGAAGTAGCGAATAAAAAAGAAAATCAAGGAATTTTACGAAAAATACATCAAACGATTGCTGTGGAACAACCGCAAGAGAATTAATGAAGCGGCTGTTAATGGAACATTGAGAGTTATTAAGAAATAAGTTTATAAGGTTATTGTTACACAATTGTTTTTCGTTTGAATAGTAAATACGTTTGAAAAATAGTCCCAATTTTAAGTTCGCCTACCTTATTAGTGTGGTATAGTTGGTAAGATTATTGTTTACGACAACTGCGTTTTAGTGTTTTTCGACTGTATTTTGCTCGGTTCTTTGTTCATTGTTAGTTTTAAAAAATTGTAATGTTACATAAATTGATAGTTTTAATCAACTGAAATTTGGGAGGAAATCAAGCGATGTAGCATTGGAAAAGTATCCAATTTTGAGTCAAAATAAGTGTGGCTTCAAGCTCGCTGGGGATGTCGTTCCGTATTTTGCTTAACTACTAACGTAAGTGTGGATACTGGTTTGTAGCAGTCAAACACTTATTTCTTCTCAAGATAAATAGTTTTGCTTTCTAAGAATTTCCTGAACGATTTTCAATAGCTTCAAAAGCTAACAGTACAGTGCGGACTTTGCCAACACAATTAAAGAAATAATAATTCCATGTCTGACTTTTTTTGGAGATGGTAATTGGAATTAATATGTGTGTACTTGCCAAATTATTGATCGTAACAATTTGAAATGGGAAAACTCACTTGTAACAAGCATCATAATTTTGGAGCAACTATTAATCCGTTTTCTATTATGGATACAGAAGTGCATTCCATACCGGATATAAACAAGTTAACAGAGTGTGTTTTCGTAACATAATGCGTTCGAATCAAGGTCAGTGGCGGAATAATGGTGATGAATTCAAAAAAACAACTTCTACAAGAATCTCTAAAAAATATATAGGTTGTCATTTAGTTTCTTATACTGATATTACTGATATTATCTATATTTGTTTAACTAAATAGGGATTATCGCAATAAAATTTCGAAAATCAAATTTTATGATTTTTCAAAAAAGCGGGATTTGTTGGACTGTACTTCAGGGACGAGGGAAGTCCGGTTGAAATAAGCCTAGACCATTTTTTTTCCTTCCTGACTGTAAACTTACATTGTCTAGTAAATTGGACCACTGACTACTTTTTTATATGTGGATTCGGAATATCGTGTAGACTGCAAATGGTAAAACGCTAACGAAATTATTCCCTCTTTTGTCGCTTTTTGCCATTTTTTTTTCATATTTTTGGAGCATTTTTGTTGCATTTTTTGTGGACCATTTACCATGCTTTTTTGACTGTTTTTTTTTTGTAAGTTTTTGTTGTTTTTTTTTTGTGTGGCTTTTCAAATTTCGCTTTTTTCCGTTTTTGGGTCCCTTTATTGTCCTTGACTTTTATGTGGCATTTTTTATGGACGTTTTGGAGCCTTTGTTTCCACTTTTTATATCTTTTTGTTGTTAAAGGTTAAAACAAACTTAGGGGCTTCTAATATTTTAATTTTGAAAGAGTTTTAAAAAATCTTTGGACCTCTACTATTTTCATATTTTTGTTTGAATATTTTTTTTTCAAGAATTTAAAAGATTTTTGAAGTTTTCTGGTGTAGAATTTTTGAAAGAGGTTAAAATTACTTGGGAAGGTGGTATCTACGACATTTTTTTTGTTTTAAGAATTTAAAATAATCTTGGGGACTCCTAAAGTTTTATTTTTGAAATAGAGTAAAACAGAGTTAGCTTCATTTTTAAAAGAAATTAAAAAATCTTCGGGCCTCTGTCGCTTTCAATTTAAGAATCTTTTTTTAGAATTTGAACGAATCTTAGAGGTCCTGGTGCTGTATTCTTGAAAGAGATTAAAATACCCTTCGAGGACTCCGACTTTTTTTTTTTGTTTCAAAGAATTTGAAAATATTTCTGACGTTTTGGTGCGTCGCGTTTAATTAAAGTTCTGATATTTTAGTTCTGAATCTTATTTTATTTAAGAATCTTGGTGTCCCCATGATCTTTTCGAAAAATTAAAAAAAAAAATTGAACTTCTCTTGTTGAATTTTTAAATGAGATTAACGATGTTGGTAGTTATGTTTTTTTAACAATTTGAAGTAGTCTCGCAGATCCTGGTCTTTTATTTTAGAATGAATTAGAAAAAATCTTGGAAGATCCTGATATTTCGTTTTTGAAAGAAATTTAAAGAACTTTGAAGGCCTTTGGTATTTCATTTCTGAAAAAATTTGAAAGAATAAATATCCCCTAAAATTTTATTTTTGAAATAGCGCAAAATAGAGTTAGGAGCCTCTAATGTTTTGTTTTTAAAAGGATTGTTATTTTGATTTTAAGAATCTTGGTATCTCCATGATCTTTTTTTAAGTATTTGAAAGAATTTTGGGACCCCTGAGGTTGAATTTGAAAAAAAATCTTGAGATTCTGATGTCGTTTTTAAAAGTCTTCGGACCACGAAAATTTTATTTTCGAAAGAGTCTTAGGACTTTTGATATTTTAGCACTGCAAGAGTTTTAAAAATCTCGGGCTTTTGCTGTTTTCATTTAAGAATCTTGGGATCCCCATGATCTTTTTTGAAGAATTTCAAAAAGTTTTGTACTTCCTTTGTTGAATTTTTGAAGGCAGTTAAAACGATCTTGGTACCTCTGGTATATATATTTTTTAAAGAATTTAAAATAACTCTTGCTCTTTTAGCCGTTTACTTTGATCACTTTTTGTTGTTTTTAATTCCTGAACGTACGCTAAGGAAATATTGTAAACGAGTCTATTGGACGACTGGCTACTTTTATGATTTCTCGACGTTTCATGACCCCCAGAGTACGAAAAAATAGATATTCCGTTTTCGTCGGTCTACCTGTTTGTCTGTGTCTCTGTACATATCTCTGTGTCCTCTGTCTGTATGCCGTCCGTCCAGATTTTTATTAGACAGATAAACTACAGCACCGATGGTGGTCAAATTGTGTACCTGTACTAGGAATATCATGTAGATTGTAAAACGCTACCCAAAATTTGGGTAATCATCCCCATCAACAATAGAATGAAACAAAATACACCTGCACATATAGTTTATGAATCCGTACTGAAATTTTACCCTAGACATCCTGTTCTTTGGGAAAACATTCAACATTGTATTTTACAATTTAACTTTGAAATTACACAGCCGAAAGCTCTGAAATCTTGTAAACGTTTTAAGGTTATAGAAACCATGATAAATTGTTGTTAGTCCAAATTATTCGTTTATAATCTCTCAAAAAATAAAGACATCATCTTAAAATTCGGCCGAATTTTATTTAATTAATTTTTTTACTCCTGAATTTATGAATTTGTTCGAAGTTTTTACCCTTTTCCCAGATTTTTGGCAAAAAAGTCTACATTTTATAACGACATCTCAACTTTGAAATTGCAAAAATTGAATGTTATGAAACCTTGCAAACATTTCAAGGTTATTGGAAGTATGGTAAATCGTTAATCAAAATTTGTCCGTCATCTTACAGTTTAGCCAAATTTAAAATTATGAGTGCTTTTGGAAAAAAAAAACTGATTGCCGTTAATTAATTAATTAGTTCTCTCCTCTGCGTTAAGGAGACAAAACTAATCAAATTTCATTTTTTTAACCACCACTGCTGCTTGTAATTTGAACGTGCTATTTGTCGAATTCTTTCGAAGTATAAACAGAAACAGCCGAAATTAAGCGTGCACTGAGAAATTGAGAATATCTACATTTTTTCCACACTATACTTCACTATATTTTATTATGCTTATCAATTACTGATATTTTTTTGTTGTTGGAGTACAAATATACCTAACTTTGGATTTTATCAATAATAAAATAATTATTAAAAACATGAGTGAACCTGAGTTTGAACCCTGAATAATTTCAGCAGATATATAACTAGTGATTAAAAAGTTTTTAGATTAGAGTTGGTCTTGAAAATATTCCTTATGTCTTTAGTTACGATGCAAATGTCAAAAATCCAAATTATTGAAATACAAATGAGGTTATGCCTGACATTTACAGTTTAATCAAAGACATGACAAATATTTCCATCGCCAACTCTATTCTGAAAACTTTTTGATCACCCGTTACATTGTACATATAATTTAATGTCCTGATATTCGACATTTTGTTTACGATTATATACAGTATGTCCCCGGATTAACTTCACAAGAGAAAAAAGGAACTGTATTTTCTATTTTACAAAAAAATGACATAGGAATAACCTGTTTTGCTTAATTCAAAACGAATAAATCTGCAATTAAAATTTTAATATTATCAGACTGTGTCCTTAAAATCGAAAAAAACTAAAAGTAACGAAGAACTTAGAAATATGAAAAAATTTATTTTAAGAGTACAAACCAGGAATATTGAAGTTTTAATTGCAGATTTATTCGTTTCGAATTAAGCAAAAAATGTTATTCCTATGTCATTTTTTTGTAAAATATAAAATACAGTTTTTTTCCTCTTGTGAAATCAATCCGGGGACATACTGTATAATAGGGTTAAAAATAAAGTTACTAAATTCTTAGGAGTACCAAAATTTTGAAGTTACGCATGGTATTGTTTGATTAATTAATAAATGCATTTAAAAAATTTAGACAATAAAAAATGCTCTCATTAATAATAATTCAGTTTCTCGGAACATTAACGGGTCATTTTTAATAACACTTAAACATGCTCGCTGCGCTCGCTAGTTAGTTTGTTTAGTTATGATAATTCTATAGACGCTAAATTATTCTGAAAAAATCAACTTGAGGAGTACAAGTCCAGTAAGCACATATAAATCAGTGGATTCCCCCCGTTTTTTCCTAAAGTGTTCATTTACCGAAATCGGTCTTAGGATGTCATGTGCCAAAATCAGTCTTACCTTAGCAAGTGCTGAAAAATGTATACATTTTTGAGGTGAATTTCAAAAGTGATGGTTTCGACAAAATTGTGATAATATTAATGATATTATGATAATCTTTAATGTGTTTAATAAACAAATACTTACATATTCTATTAATCCCTTCGAAATGTATTCTGGGTTGCCTTTTCAAGTTTGTCGAGCTTTTTACTCGTGAATCACCCTGTAGATTAATAATACCCGGCAAAGTCACGGACGTATTGATTCTAGGTATTTTATAGAGATGATATTTCACTACCGGTGTTTACTTCACTGTGAACTGACCTGACCTGACCTGACCAGATCACGGATGCCTTGATTCATAGAAATGATATTTCACTACCGGTGATTACTTTATCGTGATCTGTTTTTCACTGTTGGTGACAGTGATACGTTTTGGCCTATAACGATCTCGGTGACTACGCTTGTTCCTGAATTGAAGTACGCAATCACTGTTTTCATAGCATACCGAGTTTACGAACATGTGGTCATGATCATATCTCTTATGTTTAGCACACCGTTATTTGACGAAAGCATGCCCGATCACCGTGGCTGAGAAAAAACAATCACTGTTCACGCCGTGATAGAAAAATCACAGTTTCGCTCATCTCTAGTATTTATTATCTTACGTTTTTCCTAATTTTTTGGATTATACATTTGCTTTTCTGAAAAATAAACCGTGAACGTGGAACACGAAAATTTACACGAATTTACTAGTTCTACGGCTGCAACTAAAACGATGAGCAGCTGTAATAGCCAACGTTTAAAAACTAAAAATAAAGCGAAAAACTTGTTACAATGTTATTATTTGAAACTACACAGAAGTGTGTGGAAAAAACGCCGACAGCAAATTTTATAGCATATCAGATAAGTTTTAATACACAGCTTGACTTACTTCAGTAACTGGTGCTGTGATTCTGCTAGAAATGTACATACACTTTTACGACTGCACTGATGTCAGAAGCAGCAAATTTGTTCACGGTGCACACCTTTAGGGAAACCTTAACAGAAACACTACAAACATTGCTGCAATATTGCGGTTGCAAAGACACTTCCTCTAAATGACGCTCCGCTGTTACATTTTCATCTAATATTTCTACAGTATAGTGTCCTCCGCGCTTGAATGGAGTAAGGAAGTTGTTATTATGTTCCAGTGTAAACGGCGGAACTTACGGACGACAAGACATATTTATGTCGTCTCGCTGGACCGAACATCAGGCTCGTAATAACACCAGCAGGAGCAAAAACATAACGCTAAACATCAACACGACCGCTGCAGCAGGAATTGATTCAAAGGGTGTGGCTCGTACACGAGCTGCTTCAAAAACCACCCTCATTTTGCCTTGACATATTATTATGGTGCTTCAGCCCTCCGCCACTTACCCAAGGGTTCGCCGTCAGATGACATTCGAAGTACACGTCCGAGCCTTCTTTGATCACGCTGGTGTCCAGGCCGTGTCCTAGTGTTAGTGTCACTTTCGGAGGGTAGTTGACACGTAACATCCAAGTGCGCTGCTGCTCGCTGAACGGAATTCTCTGGTTGGAGGCTTTGCAGGTGAGGATGAGGCCGTGGTCGGCGGCGGTGGGCGTGAAGGACAGGGTGCTTGTGGTGGTGTTTCCGTCGGCGCTTACCGTCACCGTGCCACCTTCGAGGGACACACCGTCCTGTAACAAAATTGAACAATCAGTTCCACTTGTACAACTTGTTAATGACATAATAAATCAGTGAAGATTCCAAAAGAAGGAAGACAAAAACGACGTAGGAAAAGTAGGTCTAAAATATTTCCCTCGACCTGATTTAGTGACTGTTTTCTTGTAAATATTTATTTATATTTGTTAATAAAGTGAGACTACATTTTTGGTGTCTGAACCAATTTCAAGTTGACTTCTCCACATAACAACATCAAACAAATTTCTTGTCGACCCAATACCGTCCTAAATTTGACAAATTACAAAATAAAACTTATCCACCAATTCTGTTAAAAAAAAGGTCGAAAGTTATTTCCCCAGAACTTCTCTCGTGCTTGAAGTACAAAATAACACAGTTACGGATTGATTTACAAGAGAAAAAACAAATATACAAATTTTCGTGATAAAAAAAATGTTAAAGAAATTAAAATTTTTCCTTCGCTTAATATGTATAACTAATTCTACAATTAAAACTACAGAAGCGTAAACATGTGGTTAAATAAACTACAAAAATTTATAGGAGTATTATTTAAAAATTTTTGTAGGTAAAATACTTAATTTAAGTAATGGTGGGCAGTGTTGGGCAGTATCTAGATACTTGTATCCAAATAAAGTATCTAGATACATTTTTGGGTATCTAGTATATGTATCTAGATAAAATCGAATTTAAGCACAAAATATCTGTATCTAGATACAAAATTAATGGCGCAGATACAGATACATTTTTTTATTTCACTTTTTTTTCATTAGTTATTAGTTGAGTTATACTAGTAGTAATTTTTAATACTTTATGTTGGTGATTTTGATCACGTAAACAAAAATAGAGGTAAGAGGTCCACTAATAGTGTTCTGTCAAGGAAATTTTCATATTTTAAATACCATCATTTCCTACATTGCAGCCTTCAGTACTTATACATCTTTAAATATAATCCTGAGGGGTAATAAATCTAAGCCATGGTAAGATGGTATTTTAAAAACCATAAACCACAATTCACTGCGTTTTACACTTATCGGGGCAATGCATTTTATCTGTGTACCTGAGCAACCCGGGTCCGGTATGCCCGATGGTTGTATTTGTGTTATTAAATAAGAGTAATTTTAATAGTAAAAATATTTGTTTAAGGTATCTTATTATTTTTAGAAAATAATAATTGCGTGTTACGTAATGATTAATTTTTTCAATTAGCACAAATTAGTTCTGGAATCGACTAATCGAATGTTCAATACATACATTTCTCTCGCATAAATCGCATATTTGTTACTGTTTTATACCTTTATTTTTCAGACAAATGTAGCATCTTTTCCTGCTGCCACATGTCATTTCTTTACTTTTTCATTGTTGGACCTAACGCGAGGCGGGCTTGGCAGGTCCGTTTTGCCCTAGAATGTACCGATTATGTTTAAGTGTAAATCTTGAGCAATAAAATTAATATTTTTACAACCCTCGGTAGAATAATTTATCGTGATATATTATCAGAAATCGTGAAACGAGATTAAAATAAAATGAGTTTCAACAAACCTGACAGCCTTTGATCGTATAAGGGGTTTAAATACCTTTCTAAGAAATTGTACTTATTTTGCCTTAAACGGAACCAGCAATTCTTCCTAAAATGTATATACCTGCCGCACCGGGATAGACGATTACCGGACATGGTCATAAAAATATCGTAAGCCGATATTGAAGAATAATAATTTATGACAGGTTGCCGACAACAGACCTTCAGCACAGAATAATCATTTCCCCTATTCTTTTGAAATATTAATTTTAATGCTGGAGATAATTATTAGATATACTCAAACACAATTTGGACACTGTAGTATGGGAATAAAAACAAAAAAAATATTCTTTTTAAGCGTACGTAATAAATAGTGTACAATTTGCGACACATCAAATAGCGAAGCGGTGGCCTATTTGCAGGAAAAAAGAAAAAAATTTTCAGTCTTGAATAACTGTGCTACAGTAAAATGTTTAATTTTTAAATTTAATACCACAATCTCTTCTTCTGCACCTGTGGAACGGGTGTTGAGCAGCGGAAACCAAATTCTGACACCAAGAAGAAATAATTTAGGTGATAATACGTTCGAAATGTTGTTAATTTAAAAAAAAAATTATTAAACAATACAGAAAAAAATACATAAACATGTTTTCAGTTATTTTATTCGCCAAAGCTTCATAAAGTAGGTTTCCTTGTATCTGTATCTAGATACATTTCGAAAAAATCGAAAACAATCTGTATCTAGATACTTTTATCTTCCATATATCTATATCTGTATCTCGATACTTTTAAATTATCTGTCCTCAACACTGATGGTGGATACATTCTGTTGAATCCGCGATTTTCTTAGCCATTTGTGAACTTCACGGCAAAAATAAGCACAGATTCGTGATCCTGAAAAAATTTTCTATACTATAAACGATCTTCCGGACCTACTTGAGAAGTTTTAAAATTCCGCTAGAAAAAGGACGAATTCGATCTGATGAGTCTGTGATTTTCCAAATTATTTGTGGACGAAGTAGAAAAATAAGCACAAATTCGTGATCCTTAGAAAACTTCCGATCAGATTAATGTTTCTTGAGGCCGATTTGAGTAATTTTAAAATATGGTGGGTGCGCCGGGTGACTTCGTGATTTTGTCAATTATTTGTGGACGTAAGCACATCAAAAATAAGGACTGATCTATAATCTTGAGAAAATTTCCAATAAGATTAAAATCTCTCCGAATCGATTTGAGTTGTTTTAAAATTTCGCTAAAAATGGTGGATGTGCCTGGATAAATCCGCGATTTTCTTCGCTGTTTGTGGACGTACAGCAGAAATAAGCACTGATTTGTAATTTTGAGACATTTTATGATGAGGTTAATACTTGGAAATGGCAAATGCAGAATTTCCGTAATAAATAAATTAAATTAATATCTAAAACATCTCTTCGAGGATTTTTGAGTAGTTTTAAAAGATCGCTAGAAAAAGATGGGATTCAGCAGAATGAATCCGCGATTTTCTTAGTGTTTACGTATATCAAAAATAAGGACTGATCTGTGATCCTGAAAAAATTTCCGATAAAATAAACGTCGACCCGGATCGATTTGAGTTGTTTTGAAATTTCGAAAAAAATGGTGGATGCGCCTAGACGAATCCGTGATTTTATCAGCTGTTTGCAAACGTACAGAAAAAAGAAGCACAGATTCGTAATCTTGTGACAATTTCAGACAAAATTAAAGTCTCTCCGGGGCAGTTTGGTAGTTTAAATTTTTGAAAAAAATGGTGGATGCGGGGGATAAATCTGTGATTTTCTCGATTATTTGTGGGCAGACATCAAAAATAAGGATTGTGATCGTTAGAGAATTTTCGATAAGATTAACATCTCTAGATCGGTTTGAGCTGTTTCAAAATTTAGTTACCAATGGTGGATGGCCTGGATGAATCCACGATTTTCTCATTTGTTTGTGGACGTACAGCAAAAATAAGCACTGATTTGTAATTTTGAGCAAATATATATATGGTAAAATAAATGATAAAATTGAGAATTGTCATAAATAAATTAATTAAAATAATGCCTCTTCAGGCCGATTTTAGTAGCCAGAAAAAGACGGGAATAATACTCACATATTCCTAATCTTGTGCAAATTTCTGATAAAATTAATGTCTTTCCGGGCCAGTTTGACTAGTTTCAAGATTTTCCAAAAAACGGTGGATTCGGCTGGATGCATCCATAATTTTTGCAATCATTTCTGGGCAAACATCAAAAATGCGGATTGAATTGTGTGGTTGAGATAATTTTGAAAAGATTAACATCTCTCGGGATTGATTTGAGCTGTTTTAAAATTCCTGTAAAAATGGTGGATACGCCTAGATGAATACGCGATTTTCTCAGCTGTTTGTTGACGTGCAGCAAAAAAAGCCACTAATTTGTATTTTTTTACGATAAGATTAATATCCGTAAAATGTAAAATGGAGAATTCCCGTAATAAATAAATTAAATTAAATTTTAAAAAAATCTCTCCGGGCCGATTCGCGATTTTCTCAGTGATTTGTGGACGTCCATCAAAAATAAGGACTGATGTGTGATCTTGAGAAAATTTCCGATACAATAAACGTCTATCCGCATCGATTGAATTGTTTTGAAATTACGTTAAAAATGGTGGATGCGCCGGGATAAATCCGCAATAACTATTCTCAGCCGTTTGTTAACTTAAAAAATAAATAAACACTGATTTGTAATTCTGAGAAAATTTATGAAAAAGTTAATATCTGAAAATTGTACATTGGAGAATTTCCGTAATAAATAAATTGAATTAATATTAAAAATATGTTTAATATAATTATATTTATTATTTATTAATTAATATTTAACCGGATGGATCCGCAATTTTCTTAGGGATTTGTGAAGTACATCAAAAATAAAACTTGATTTGTAATCCTGAGAAAATTTCCCTTGCGATTAATCTTTATCCTATTCGATATGAGTTGTTTTGAAATTCCGTTAAAAATGGTGGATGCGCCGGGATAAATTTGCGATTTTCTCACTTATTTGTTGACGTACAGCAAAAATAAACACAGATTTGTAATCTTGCGAAAATTTGTGATGAAATTATTATCCCTTCGGGTAAGTTTGAGTAGTTTTAAAATTTTGCAAAAAAGGATTAGGTCGGATGAATCCGTAATTTTTTTAATCATTTGTGAACGAGCATCAAAAATAAATACTGATTTGTGATGTAGAGAAAATTTTTCCAGATCGATTTGAGCTGTTTAAAAATTCGCTTAAAAATGGTGAATGTGCCTGAATGAATCCGAGATTTTCTCAACTTCCTGTCGACGTAGAGCAAAAAATAAGGACTTATTTGTAATTTTGAGAATATTTATGATAACATTAATATCTGTAAATTGTAAAATGGTGAAATTCCGTAATAAACAAATTCAATAAAAAAAAACTCGATGAATCCGCGATTTTCTCAGTGATTTCTGGACGTACATCAAAA